CCCATGCTGCCAAGCTAAAAAGCAATTCAATTTGAACCCTTATCATATTATCTATATTCCAAAGAGGTGGCGTGTACGTCGTACAATCTAAGCAGGGGAGGTTGCTTGGATTAGACTTATCTGGTGAAACTAAAAAGTTTTTTTGATGTGTTTGAGGAGACTATGGAGTTTTCAGAAAAGGGGGTTTGAGGAGAAATCAATCTCTACTTTGTACAAATTTCTAGCATTATTTTCTGTAACATCTGCTGAAGATGCTCCCTATTAACACAAACTGCGTTTGACTTGACAATGCTATTTTTGATTCTATACGACAAAAAGGCTTAAATTTATTCATGCAGATATAATCATAAAACATGTCGATATGTAATGTATCTACAGACTGTTTACTTCTTTTTGGGAGGAGCCATAATTGGTATTTCCCTGCGGTTCGTATGCAAACCAGTTTTCGGTGCTTCGATGCAAAGATGTCCAACTTCGGTGAGCTGAGTGTGAACGGCGTCTAGATCGACTTCATCGGGTAGGGTCCAACTACGGACAAAGGACCTAAAAAAGGCGAGAAGTACTCGGATAAAGTCTTTTAGAGTCAATTACAGCTAACCTTTCCATATGTTCATGACTTTTTTTTACTTCTTGCTTTCCTTCTATTGTAAGGTTTCGTCCATCAATATGCACTTGTAGTTCTTCGGGTTTGAAGTGCGATACATCCAACGATACTGCGAACTTCTTGTCATCATTAACTACCTTAAAAATACCTCAACTTGCATAAGACTGGACAGAATCCGAGTTATCATTTCTGGACCAACTTCATGGGCCTGATTTGCAACTTCCAGAATCGAATGGTCCATGTCCCTCCCGCAGGGCATCATGTGACGTTGGAATCGGTCCATGTCGCGCATCATCCGACGTTCGAAGCGATCCCAATCATGCCAAGTGTCCACTTCACGTTCAAACGGACGCCTGTTCCACAGCGCCATTGCCAAATTAGTCAAAAGTTAGTTAATACCTGCAAGTATCTCTAAAATGCCGCAGAATCGTTGTTACAGCCAAATAGAGGGCGGAGGTATGCACAGTGGTGAGTTTGAGGGAGAGTTGATGGAAAAAAA